ATATAAATAATTTATATATTAACACAGAGACTATGAGTACATATGCTATACAATAAAATAATATAAATAATTGAAAAAAATAACCTTTTGCTACCATGTCAGACTTAGTTTGTATTCAGCATGGCTTGGTAAGCGCTGAATTTTAGTCTGTTCCTAATCAAATAACAACTAGTATAGCGAAATGATAATTTATTGTTAACATTGGTGACAAAGATGGCTATTAAAAAGCTTGTCTGTTATGCTTCTTGTAATATAACTTGATTCGGAGCGATTATGTAAAGTAGATTCATGAAAACATTTTTGACTCACGGTATTTATTGGGTAAAACTTTAAATTGCCTCCTACCCACTTTGAGTGGCTATTGAACCAATTTGCTGGTTCCATCTAACTCCATGATGATAATCGGCTTCGATTTATTTATACCTGCTAACTTTGACGCTGGTAAATATTTATTCCAAAGTAATTTGATGTTAAGGTCCTTTATATGACTGTATCTAGAACTATATATATGACTGTAACTAGAACATTTTTTTTTATTTCTTTACTAGCTGTGCCCGCGACTTCGTCCGCGTGGCATAGTGACTTGGGGTAGAATTTTTAATTATTTAGGCTGTTTATCAATTTAAGTAAGGGCGCATTAAAGGCAGCGAATCTATGTTGTAAGTGCTACTTTGCCGTAACACTGTCACCTCACATCACTCCTACTCTCATTCCCACACTCACTCCTGTTCCCAAAAAGCTAAAGAAGAAAGTTTCATTGTTCTAGCTTCAAAAACCACGAATTTCCATATAAACTTTCATCCCCTTTTTCAACCCCTATCAACCCTTATTTGGCAATAAAAAGTAGCCTAAGTCCATTTCTCGGGCTCAGACCTGTTCAGTTGTTTCGGAGTTAAAGTCGGACAGACAAACAGAGTTACTTTCGCATTTATAATATTAGTATAGATAATTATTAATACTCTCCGTACCTACTAACGTATGTATGTCGTGGGTTTCATCTTTAGCTGAGCACATTATACTCAACTCTGGAATAAAATGTTATCAGAAAGCAGGTAATTCTGAAACAAGATTTTAAACATTTAGTTACGGAAATTGTTACAGGCTGTAGTTCTAGCAATTAATAATAACGACGTTATAAGCTATATTTTTGAATCTACAATACGAAATTCAGACTACATTAGTATTGGTCCTTACGCCTTAAATATAAGAATAGCAAAGATACACATTTCCTCTACTGCTCGTTTCGTTTCCTTTTGCGTCTTATTGAATGTGTAGCTTATTATTTTTGCTATCGATAATGATTATACACATGATTTATCCTTTGAAAAAGTTTTTATTTTTATTTGAAATAAAATCAGTTTGACGCAATGGATTATTTGATAAACATTCGTTCTAAGTTGTCTTAAAATGAGAATCGTTTGTTAATAAATTAAAAATCGATTGTAAATTTAAAAAATTACGACTCGGGCAGGACTTGAACCGGCATCCTCAGCGTTCCGTGCTATTGTTCTAACCAATTGAGCTATCGAGTCCTAGACGACGTTGTCGTACGACAACGTATTGATACATGCACGACATCAATTTATAATCGATTAGAATCGATAGAACAAAATAATGCATGTTTGTGAAAAGGGGGCCTTATCGCCTATGGCGATTTCATCCAGGCAACCTTTGCATGTAGAAATAAAATAAAAAATACAGTAAACAATCAAATGTCAACATTGAAATTGATTTATGAAATAAAATGAACATTTAAACTAGAAATTAACACTTAAATACATAAGCTAAACACACTATTTAAATAAAATAACACACTTAAGACCTAGGGAAGTATTAGAAGGTCCTACATGTTATTCATTCTAAAGGCAGTGACGAAGAAAGTATTGCTTGGTCCTGGCCTTAAATTTGTAATTAATATTTCAGTCCGTTGTTTGAAATGTGTTCATTATGATGTAGCAGCATCGACAACAAACGATGCTCGGTCGGAAATCAAAGGCAGTGCAACCTCTCCTCGCATTCAGTATTGCTTCATATTGTAGTTATATATCGGGGTAATCAAGTGGCACATTCACGAGTCACCAACTTCGCATGAAGTTATGTTGATGATAAGACAACTTGCTTCTATTCACAGACGCAATCACGATGGAGGAAAGAAGAATATGTCTGTAGAATAATATTTAATACAATATTGTTTATACAACTTATTTCAGTTTAGCATGATGATATCGAAAATGAATTATAATAAATAAATTACACAGTTAAATAATAAAACGATTTTCTGCCAAACCAACTACCCGAGGAAAGGAGGATTTTACTTATTCAAATACAAAAATACTTCAAAAATGGGATCCTACCTATCTATCAAATATAAAACATACATATATAACCATATATTCTGCCCCATGCAAGATATAATCGTCTTCATTAAACCGGCATGTAAAATTCAGCTCTCCCAATGAAACCTACCCCGACAGCGAACATAACATCGTAATGCCTAAAACGCTTCAGGCGCGTCGCTTAATTAAAATATTTACGTAACGTAGGTATATGCTTGAGGCATTCCATATATCGGTGATCAATAACCACGTTCGGCTGAAATGAGGGGTCGGGTGTAATGAGAGCGGCTGCAGAGGCGTTCGCGCGTGGCGACAAGTGAGCCGTGTCAATTTCGTCGGCTGAAATCTGTGCACCGGCATACAAACATACTAGACTAGTTTACTATGTTACTTAGTGGCCCGATAATAATGTCTAACATCCATCGACTTTAAAATGAATTTACGTAATAAAAAAGTCACGGTGGTGTTATTGGTTAGAGCAACAAGCACTGAACGCTGTAGATGTCGGTTCGAGGTGCGCCCGTGCCGTAATTTTTAATTTATCAACTTTGCCTTTAGGAGCACTATTCTTTAATAATCATCGTCAGGTCTTTTATAGTTCTCAGCATTGGGATACGATTTTCAGTAGAAGGCATAATTTATGCTTTCAGAATACCATGCCTTCGAAATACGTTTTGAAAGAACATATTATCGCAAATAAATAAATAATAACTCGTGTCTTGTATCTTAAACTTGGTTCGAGGACACCTTAAGATTTAAACAATACACAGTTTAAATTGCAAAATAAATCCATTAATTTATTAATTAAATAAGTTAACTCATATATCTCGCGTCTAAAATCATTAAAAATGTTTTATTTAAATTTCGTACTTCTAGCACACGCTACTTTAAATTATTGTTTAACATTTTATAGTTAAGAGGTATAATGATTACATGAAATATTTTTTATAGTCGTGAAAAAAGTAAGAAATGAATCATAATAGAAGCGATGGCTATTTTAAAAGTTACTGTTCATATGAAGAGCTTTACTATCAATAAAATAAAAAACTCTAACAATGTAAAATTATCAACTCACTAAGAACGTAAACGAAGTTTGTAAGTCTTTAGGACTGTGTAGTCGGTGGAATGCATGTCAAAGCTCCAGACTTCCCAAGTTCTAGCGCTCTTGGCTAACGCTCGTTTTAAATTAGCCGTAGCGGTTAGTATTGCGCTGCGTGTAGCTAGTAATAAGCGGGATCTACAATTTAAATTTAGTTTAGGGGATTAATTAAACCAAAACCCGGTGAACGGACGTCGTTCGCCGCGCTCTGTCAAAACCGTCAATGGCAGGCGTCGCACTGTTTTATTCTCGCACTAGAGCTATGGTCTCATATAATCGCTGCAGTATATTGCGTAATGCGTTACTCACTTATTCATTTAGTTGTTAGTACATCTTTTTCGAAACAATATTCGATAAAGAATGCTTTTTATTATTGTTTTAACTTTATTTATGCATTAACGGTTTAATCGTGTCGAGCCGGAGTAAAATTTATTTATAATCAAATTTAACTGATATATTTTTCGTTCTAAACCGTTACAATGTTTTAGTTAAATGTGTACTACTTGCGTTAACTACAGATAATGCTCGTGTCAAGTCAGCGGCAAAGCATCTGAAATGTCGGGCCGCAGTTAAAAATAATTTGTAAACAACAAGAAATTTCACATGTATTATATTTCGCGTTCAAATCTACTATGTAAACTATGGCATATATTGCTCTTGTCAAAATGATAGTTAATAATGTTAAGATTCTATATAACTGAAGACGCAACGCTAAATACTGTATGCTTATAGTCACGTCAAAGATTAAAAGAGACAACAACAAGTATATTTAATAGTAAGCGATGTAATTATAGACGTACGCTATCACGCATTTATATGAGACCACAGCCGAATCTCACACTAACGCCATCAATGGGAGACGCAATCGAATTTGCCAAATGACGCTCACACTAAATTGGTGAAGAGTGATTGATTGGAGCGCTCCACGGCTAAAGTATTTTACATCCACAATAATTGAATCTGAATATATATAGCGAGAATCGGTGCGAGGAGCGCAAAATAAAATTTGCAGTTTCATATGGCGCTTTCGTTCCGCCTGGTTACCTAATTAGATCGTATCAGCGTGAAATATGGCCGAGTAAATATTTTATGCAAAATTGCATCTTGCTAGAATTTTCACAACATGCTAAATTTTCCGCTTGTTCAACTTCTACTAAGTAAAACTTAACTTGTGAATAAATATTCTTTGAAATATGCTCTTTTCGTATCACTTAAAATATTACTAAAACGCAACTAACGTAAAATAACACGATTTCCCACATTAAAGTAAATAAATTAAATTTCTGATGACGAGGCAAACGAAATTTATTGATTCAGTCAGTAAAAGCCAAATTGTAGTAATAACCGTTTTTTAGATTTTCGATTGATTAGATATCCGAAATAGGTTCACAACACATCTAAAGTAAAGGGAAGTAATAAAAAATACTATTATTAAGTAAAAATATTAAATTTACTACTATTAAATTTTCAACTAATAAAACAAGATGAGAACATCAATAACTATCAAGACCATTTATCTCGGAACACGAATAAAGTGTTCTGCTTAAAGTAGGTGAAGTTTAAAATTATTTAGGGACTTCACCTAGCCAGTGCAACTTGATAAATGGATTGTGGGCCAGGTGGGTGCACGGTTGCGCTGCCCTGACACGCAATGTTAGCCTGATTAGCTCTGAAGCCGTCCTCTGAAAAAGCTCTAAAAAGCTCACCAGTAATTCAGTTAGTGACCCGCCGGCTGCAGTGTAAATTTTCTTTAATGCTTTTAAATTTTAGAATCCTTTTTTGATAGTAATAATTAGTGATTATCGTTTAACTCTTTCTATCAATAAAGCCTTATGGGAGTTTCACAAAACTAGAAAATATTGTATTGTAGTGATCTGGTAATATTGATGGATTTATAAATAAAGTTCTAATTTTAAATTAACACTTAAATGTATGATTCATTTCAAATGTAAGTTTTTTTTTGGTATTAAGGTCTTGTCTTTTGTTAAGATATGATTTTGATACGATTAGAGAACTCTTAAAAGAAGGGGATATAAAAGCCTATGTTATGTCAGTATGTAGGTGGTCAGGTTCCAAAAGATAACAAAAATGTAACATTATAATAATAAAGTAAGATAGGTCGTTTCCTTAATTATCGAAGAATGATGGAAAATGCGTGAAATAGATTGTAAGAGGAGCCGGAGCGAAACGCTTGTGAAGGAATTCATGGTACGGCCACTGTAACCCGACGATAATTAGATACGGCGCGCTTTTACAGCAGCGCGGCTCTGAATACCGACCAAATTGCCGCCCTCCCAATCCTGTTTATGCCACGATGGCACTCTGAAGCTTCGTTTGGCGATCATTTTGTATTTTTTAGCTTTGCCCGAACAACTTTCCACTCTGTAATTTTATAATTTATGCCGTTTCATATCTGCAAACTTCAGCGTCAAATTTAACTAACCATTTTCTACTTTTAAAGGTCTTTAAACTTTTGTTAGATTTTATGTTAAAACGTTTTTGACGGTTTTAAATAGGAAATATATTATTTATGGTCTTCAATCTCTCGTCACAACAGGTGGTATAAAAATAACGAATATACTTGACTTTTATACCGTTATTTTACTACATGTGCATACTACAAGCATTATACTATATTAAACTTCTCTACTTACTATATTAAAGAAGTTTAATTAATAAACATTCAAAATAGTTTGGTGAAACATCGTTCCGTTGTACAGATTCATAATCAGAATAAAATTTGAACTGAAAGAACTTCCCCGTTTTTATCTACATAGGACTAGCTGTGCCCGCGAATTTGTACGCGTCGAATAGTTTTTGGGCATATTTTTTTTTGCAAATAAACTTCTTAGCTTTATAAACTATGGCTGTTACCCACGACATCGTCCAAGTCCCGTCCTTCTTGCGAGTTAATCTTAACAGATAGACATAGACCTTTAAAAATAATAATTGTTTTATATTTTGTTTTTTTGAACCATTTTAGCAACGCAAGCAACGGTAACCCATAAAGGCGATTAATATTCCCCTTTTTTTTCAACATATATAATTCGAATTATAAAATATTTTTGTGTCGGTGTAGAGTATTTATCGAAAATTTATAAAAAATAAGGTTTGCTGAGACGAAACGTGATGCCCTACAACTATTTTATTCGGACGAAGTCGCTGTCATATCTAGTTCTATAATAAATAAAAATGGAAGTTCTTACAGTTCAAAGTTTGTTCTAAATATGAATCAGTATGACGCAATAAGTACAGATTTACGCTCAATAGCGCAAGATTGTTAGAGGTCCGAATTTACAAGCGCTCGAACAAAAGCGACCCTCGAATACGAACGCGAGATTTGAGCTCATCATGTATGCATCTTTTGGTGAATATATGTTGCTCGGCGCACAGTACGAATACCGACTAGTTGATTAGCCGGCGCCGGACCGCTCCTCGCAGACCCGCTTTCGCTGTCTAACTGTGCACCTGCAGTTTTCGGCACTATTGTCTGATAGAAGGAATGAGCGCTCGCAATTCTCGCCTCTGAAATTTTAAACGGAAAGTTGTCTGCTGATTGCTTTCACAAAGATAGTATTTTATTCGCACGAATAATATATTCCGCGATGGAGTCAATTCGTATGAATCAAATGTATTCAGGCTTTTTGGGTGTTTTTAATTATCTCTTTTGATCAGTGCTACTGCTTTTTAAAGACTTTTTGTGTTGTATTCAGCACAAGAGTTCTTAGGTTCCTATACGTGGAAACGTTTGGCAGGCTAGTTCAAAACTTATCATAACGTTATCTTTTTTTTTAATTTGTTACCGCAACTATTATACAATTATTATACTTTCATAACTCTGGCAAAAATAGTGTTTTAATGGCATATCGTAAAAAAAATGTTTTTGATTTTGATAATGCCGGTTTCAAATTGAATAATAAAAAAACGTCCAAATTAGGCATAATAAAGGCGTGTAATATATAATAAATGTATTTATTTAGTTTAGTATACGATTTGCTTTATTAGTATTGGAAATAATGGGTATTGTGGGAGCTTACGCGAATATAGATTTAAATAAAACACTTTTAACGGTTAATAACGCGGAGTATTCTAAAAATATGACTTTTTATTTAACAAAGGCGGGCCGTGCCACACGTTTAAATAAATTATATAAGTTTGGGGCTTAGAAGTAAACACAACGCTTTACATTTTTTAATTTCCGTTAAAATGTATTATCTACGGTGTATACGTGTGAGAATATAATAATTCTTGCATACGACCTATACGGGGATCGAAGACCCTTCCTAAGTGTGTGAAAGAAAACTAAAGTGATATAGCACAAGTACGGAAACATTCTTTAGAGAAAAGGAGGAGCAATCAAAGTGAATTGTAGTAACGGCTCTGTCACGAGTTCGCTGTATCTGATAAGCCAAGTGGTTTGTTCTGAGAATACTAGCATTTGTCGAATGTATATTGTAGGTCGAAAGGCTTCTGTCGTGACTGCGTGGGCGTACGCACACTCTACGATGAAATAAAGGGAAAGCTTCTAAATTCTTCCTATCCCGGGATTTTTTTTTAATAGTAGAATTTTCGCTTCTTCAAATAAAATTTAACAATATATCTTAAGAGAGACTACACATCAAGATTTATTTATGACTTGGTTGATCAAAGCAACATCATAAAATCTGTGAAGAGCTGTCAAAAGAAGAAAGATGTTGCCGAACAATTTGGCCTGCCAATGAGTACTCTGTCAACAATTATAAAAAATGAACCAGATATCTAATATATCCGCTCCATGGGTGTCCATAAGAGGCAAGAACGCATTGAATACTTTACGTACTTTTATAGAGCAAACAAACTCTGAAGAACAAGAATTTTCTGCCCTTATACCTTAGACAATGCTATAGATAGAGAACAACTGAACTGTCTAAAGCAAAAAAAAAATACTGACTTGTTTTAATGCATATTTTTGTATTTTAAGGATGTTTTGAAGTAATGTAGATTTATACATAAACAATAAATATGTGTGGCACCTGCAGCTTGAATTTTTATTTATTTTACCTCTCTTACTCAAAATTTATAAACATGTATCTCAACCTCTTTATGTCGAATCAAAACCCGCCTAAGTCGAAATTCTCTCTAAGTCGCTTTATAACTCGAATTTTTTGGCGTCTCTACTGTATTATTTATTTCGTTCATTGTAATTATGTATGTTTTGTGTAAAAAAGAGTTAAACAAATATTACTCGTTTAAACTACAAAACTATATTCAAAACTGATTATAGTTGAGACTATAAATCTCGTTTCTCAAAGCTTTCGAATATTTCGTGAAATATTTTGAATTATTATGAAAGACTGAAGAACGGTGTTACTGAGAGCTCAGAGAGTATAATTACCACATCGTTACATTTTAAATTCCATTAACGCTTTCACCTACTTTACATACATTTTATTTCTGTTTCAGGTACGTCTACATTTGAGGAATTGAATGTATGGTAAATATAATTTTATTATATGTAATTTTCGGAACAATAACGTAGATTCCATAATTTTACTCAGTACAGACTTCGATTTTGATTAGGTCTATATCTTTGTGGGTAGTTTCACTAAGTTTTTATGACACTACCCACTGAATCTTTTTGATGAGAACAACACAGTATTAATGATTCATCCTCATGAAAACAGATAGATGTGCTAAACCCCTTAATTATAAACAGGAAAGCCGATCTTAACGCGCCTATTAATTTAATTCTGAATTTGAAAACGCTTTTGTCATCAGTCGTAGATTTCGGAAGCGATCGCATTTTCACCCTTCACTTCTAGCGGGCGATTCTCATTACGAACTTTTTTAATCGTCCTTTATGCTAGTGAAAAAAATAAATCCGTTGTGATGCCGGTCGAGACGCCGTATCCCGTGCTCGTAATTAAACTGACACCGTCCCAGGGGACGAGTTTTGAATGTTATTAGAATCTCTTTCGGGCCGTCGCCTCTGATTGAAAATCCTTTATTATTCAACCTCTGTTTGTGTTTTAATTGATACACTATATCAACATGTTCGCACAATACTAGCGAACGCTTTGTTTACAATTTTTTTTAATGGATAGCTATTACTCTTCAGACCTTTTCGGTAGCCAAATGGTTAAATGTGTTACCTAACAATGCAATAAGAGCGAGAGGTTCTGGGTTCAAATAGATGGAAAGAACAATCGATAGTTTTTGTCGAGTAGCCACAGAAGTCTGATCGACTATTTGCTAGTAAAAAAAACGGACACAGAGATGTGTTCGCCCCATTCTCCATGAGGGGAAACGAGATTTCACTATAATTACTCTTCAATAGGTGTAGCTGATTAAGTTTTTTTGCTTTATATTACGGTTATTTATTTATTTATTTATTTATTATTATTCTTACAGAAATACGTAGTATACTATGTGTAAAAAGCGGCGAGGTACTTCGTAAGCAGAATTAATGAAAATTGAAAATATGAAGATAGTTGAATATATTTTTAATGTCTAATGACTTTTTTCCTGTGATTAAGACCTCGGATGCCAGATCTTGCACATAACATAATAAGTAGTTTGTTATAATTATTTTTATAACATAGTACGAAAAATTTTATGTTCAAAATAACTGATTTTTTTCTTACTCTGATAGTGTCGATGTCAATAACACCGAACATGAACAGGGACGTGGGGCAAAGATCGTGAAACGTCGAGTGGGCATGTTGACAGTCCTCGGGCCGCAGACCGCTCGACGGAAAAACAAACAAATTTGTTTAAACACCGACACATCTATGTGTGTGCTTTGAATTTTAATTAAAGCAATAATGAAAATCGAATTCGTTCGCAATTTACTCTCTACAGACATTTTAGTTTAGTGGAATTATGTGTTAGCGACAATTGTTTGTTTACTTTGTGCCCAGTAACTACTTTATTACAAGAAGTATCATTTCGAAATATGTAGGTCCTTGCGTTGAAGAGAGGACTAAGGTCTTAGACCCACCGCGCTTTTAAATCAAAAGGTTTTCTCACAATAATACCACCTAAACAAGGAATAACTGTAACGATAAGTAAATTAACTATAGACTAAATAAGATATACGCTTTTCTTCAGTAATTGTGGAATCAATAAAATTTACCTATATGCTTAAATATTCTTTTTTATGCTAGAAGGGAAAATGGAAACCCACCAGATTTGGTCCGCGCCGGCAGCCTAACTGCCGATGGTCGGGTTCCGGGAAGGATTGGACCCATGACCAGTTGAATATAAGTCATGCATTGTTACCATTACACCAACGAGCCAATTTATTTAGCAGGTTCTCTTAAACAGCTAATATTGTTCATATTTTTAGACTAAGTTTTTTTATAAA